TACCAGAGATTGTTTCTACTTGACAGTATTCAGAATCACTGAGCAGCTGACTGGTCTACTGATACCAGAGATTGTGTCTACTTGACAGTATTCAGAATCACTGAGCAGCTGACTGGTCTACTGATACCAGAGATTGTGTTTACTTGACAGTATTCAGAATCACTGAGCAGCTGACTGGTCTACTGATACCAGAGATTGTTTCTACTTGACAGTATTCAGAATCACTGAGCAGCTGACTGGTCTACTGATACCAGAGATTGTTTCTACTTGACAGTATTCAGAATCACTGAGCAGCTGACTGGTCTGCTGATACCAGAGATTGTGTCTACTTGACAGTATTCAGAATCACTGAGCAGCTGACTGGTCTACTGATACCAGAGATTGTTTCTACTTGACAGTATTCAGAATCACTGAGCAGCTGACTGGTCTACTGATACCAGAGATTGTTTCTACTTGACAGTATTCAGAATCACTGAGCAGCTGACTGGTCTACTGATACCAGAGATTGTTTCTACTTGACAGTATTCAGAATCACTGAGCAGCTGACTGGTCTACTGATACCAGAGATTGTTTCTACTTGACAGTATTCAGAATCACTGAGCAGCTGACTGGTCTACTGATACCAGAGATTGTTTCTACTTGACAGTATTCAGAATCACTGAGCAGCTGACTGGTCTACTGATACCAGAGATTGTGTTTACTTGACAGTATTCAGAATCACTGAGCAGCTGACTGGTCTACTGATACCAGAGATTGTTTCTACTTGACAGTATTCAGAATCACTGAGCAGCTGACTGGTCTACTGATACCAGAGATTGTTTCTACTTGACAGTATTCAGAATCACTGAGCAGCTGACTGGTCTACTGATACCAGAGATTGTGTTTACTTGACAGTATTCAGAATCACTGAGCAGCTGACTGGTCTACTGATACCAGAGATTGTGTTTACTTGACAGTATTCAGAATCACTGAGGGCAGCTGACTGGTCTACTGATACCAGAGATTGTTTCTGCTTGACAGTATTCAGAATCACTGAGCAGCTGACTGGTCTACTGATACCAGAGATTGTGTTTACTTGACAGTATTCAGAATCACTGAGCAGCTGGTCTGACTGATGGTTGTTTCTACTGATTCAGAATCCAGAGATTGTGTTTCTGCTTGACGGTATTCCAGAATCACTGATTGGCTGGTCTGCTGATGCCAGAGATTGTTTCTACTTGACAGTATTCAGAATCACTGAGCAGCTGACTGGTCTACTGATACCAGAGATTGTGTTTACTTGACAGTATTCAGAATCACTGAGCAGCTGACTGGTCTACTGATACCAGAGATTGTTTCTACTTGACAGTATTCAGAATCACTGAGCAGCTGACTGGTCTACTGATACCAGAGATTGTTTCTACTTGACAGTATTCAGAATCACTGAGCAGCTGACTGGTCTGCTGATACCAGAGATTGTTTCTACTTGACAGTATTCAGAATCACTGAGCAGCTGACTGGTCTACTGATACCAGAGATTGTTTCTACTTGACGGTATTCAGAATCACTGAGCAGCTGACTGGTCTACTGATACCAGAGATTGTTTCTACTTGACAGTATTCAGAATCACTGAGCAGCTGACTGGTCTGGTCTACTGATACCAGAGATTGTGTTTACTTGACAGTATTCAGAATCACTGAGCAGCTGACTGGTCTACTGATACCAGAGATTGTTTCTACTTGACAGTATTCAGAATCACTGAGCAGCTGACTGGTCTACTGATACCAGAGATTGTTTCTACTTGACAGTATTCAGAATCACTGAGCAGCTGACTGGTCTACTGATACCAGAGATTGTGTTTACTTGACAGTATTCAGAATCACTGAGCAGCTGACTGGTCTACTGATACCAGAGATTGTGTTTACTTGACAGTATTCAGAATCACTGACTGCAGCTGACTGGTCTACTGATACCAGAGATTGTTTTGGTCTACTTGACAGTATTCAGAATCAGAATCACTGAGCAGCTGACTGGTCTACTGATACCAGAGATTGTGTTTACTTGACAGTATTCAGAATCACTGAGCAGCTGACTGGTCTACTGATACCAGAGATTGTTTCTACTTGACAGTATTCAGAATCACTTGAGCAGCAGAATCACTGGCAGCTGACTGGTCTACTGATACCAGAGATTGTGTTTACTTGACAGTATTCAGAATCACTGAGCAGCTGACTGGTCTACTGATACCAGAGATTGTGTTTACTTGACAGTATTCAGAATCATTGAGCAGCTGACTGGTCTACTGATACCAGAGATTGTTTCTACTTGACAGTATTCAGAATCACTGAGCAGCTGACTGGTCTACTGATACCAGAGATTGTGTTTACTTGACAGTATTCAGAATCACTGAGCAGCTGACTGGTCTACTGATACCAGAGATTGTTTTTACTTGACGGTATTCAGAATCACTGGAGCAGCTATTCAGAATCCAGAGATTGTGCAGCTATTCAGAATCACTGGTCTACTGGTCTACTGATTACCAGAGATTGTGTTTACTTGACAGTATTCAGAATCACTGAGCAGCTGACTGGTCTACTGATACCAGAGATTGTTTTACTTGACACTGTATTCAGAATCACTGACAGTATTCAGCATCACTTGCTGACTGGTCTACTGATACCAGAGATTGTGTTTACTTGACAGTATTCAGAATCACTGAGCAGCTGACTGGTCTACTGATACCAGAGATTGTGTTTACTTGACAGTATTCAGAATCACTGAGCAGCTGACTGGTCTACTGATACCAGAGATTGTGTTTACTTGACAGTATTCAGAATCACTGAGCAGCTGACTGGTCTACTGATACCAGAGATTGTGTTTACTTGACAGTATTCAGAATCACTGAGCAGCTGACTGGTCTACTGATACCAGAGATTGTGTTTACTTGACAGTATTCAGAATCACTGAGCAGCTGACTGGTCTACTGATACCAGAGATTGTTTCTACTTGACACAGTATTCAGAATCACTGAGCAGCTGACTGGTCTACTGATACCAGAGATTGTGTTTACTTGACAGTATTCAGAATCACTGAGGGCAGCTGACTGGTCTACTGATACCAGAGATTGTTTCTACTTGACAGGTATTCAGAATCACTGAGCAGCTGACTGGTCTACTGATACCAGAGATTGTTTCTACTTGACAGTATTCAGAATCACTGAGCAGCTGACTGGTCTACTGATACCAGAGATTGTTTCTACTTGACAGTATTCAGAATCACTGAGCAGCTGACTGGTCTACTGATACCAGAGATTGTTTCTACTTGACAGTATTCAGAATCACTGAGCAGCTGACTGGTCTACTGATACCAGAGATTGTTTCTACTTGACAGTATTCAGAATCACTGAGCAGCTGACTGGTCTACTGATACCAGAGATTGTTTCTACTTGACAGTATTCAGAATCACTGAGCAGCTGACTGGTCTACTGATACCAGAGATTGTTTCTACTTGACAGTATTCAGAATCACTGAGCAGCTGACTGGTCTACTGATACCAGAGATTGTTTTTACTTGACAGTATTCAGAATCACTGAGCAGCTGACTGGTCTCTACTGATACCAGAGATTGTTTCTACTTGACAGTATTCAGAATCACTGAGCAGCTGACTGGTCTACTGATACCAGAGATTGTTTCTACTTGACAGTATTCAGAATCACTGAGCAGCTGACTGGTCTACTGATACCAGAGATTGTTTCTACTTGACAGTATTCAGAATCACTGAGCAGCTGACTGGTCTACTGATACCAGAGATTGTTTCTACTTGACAGTATTCAGAATCACTGAGCAGCTGACTGGTCTACTGATACCAGAGATTGTTTCTACTTGACAGTATTCAGAATCACTGAGCAGCTGACTGGTCTACTGATACCAGAGATTGTTTCTACTTGACAGTATTCAGAATCACTGAGCAGCTGACTGGTCTACTGATACCAGAGATTGTTTCTACTTGACAGTATTCAGAATCACTGAGCAGCTGACTGGTCTACTGATACCAGAGATTGTGTTTACTTGACAGTATTCAGAATCACTGAGCAGCTGACTGGTCTACTGATACCAGAGATTGTTTCTACTTGACAGTATTCAGAATCACTGAGCAGCTGACTGGTCTACTGATACCAGAGATTGTTTCTACTTGACAGTATTCAGAATCACTGAGCAGCTGACTGGTCTACTGATACCAGAGATTGTTTCTACTTGACAGTATTCAGAATCACTGAGCAGCTGACTGGTCTACTGATACCAGAGATTGTTTCTACTTGACAGTATTCAGAATCACTGAGCAGCTGACTGGTCTACTGATACCAGAGATTGTTTCTACTTGACAGTATTCAGAATCACTGAGCAGCTGACTGGTCTACTGATACCAGAGATTGTGTTTACTTGACAGTATTCAGAATCACGAGCAGCTGACTGGTCTACTGATACCAGAGATTGTGTTTACTTGACAGTATTCAGAATCACTGAGCAGCTGACTTAGTTGAATGTCAGGTGCTATATTTAAATTAATTATTTATATTTTTCAGGGACATTGGTCTGCCACTAAATATTTTCACAGTCATAGTCTACATGTTGCCTTGAATTGTGTGTATAATGTTGTTTTAAGCAGATAAAGGCTAGTATTAGCTCTCCTTAGATTGTATTGTTATATTATCAGGGGAATTATGTTCAATGGTGATAAATACCCTAGGTCCATTACCCAATGTAATTCCATATTGAGCATGATTCAGAATACAAGACACATCGATCTAGTTCTCATGAGTGTAATTCTTTGCTACACTTACTATAAGAAAATGGAAATTATAATGTCCTTTATATGCAAAAGAAATTGGTGATGGATGACCCTGGGTAGCTACCCTGACAGAATGGAGATATAATGCCCTTGATTAGCGAGGATGATGCTGTACCTGAAGACTCCAGTGTTTGTCAAGCATATTTCATTGAAGGTTTGCTTTTTTCTTGCAGGGCTTGCATTGTAGAGGACTGACCAAGCCTTCATGCTATAGGTAAGTGGATGTTTATTTTTGCAGTGGAATAGGAACACCTGGGCCCCGTTCCTCAAGGTGATCGTAGCGCTATGACAGTCGTAAGTCTATGTTAAAGTATGGGAGTTAAGATCATCTTAGCGCTATGATCGCTTTATGGAACGGGACTCTGGGCATTGAAAGCAATGTGCTAAGAATATTGTCTATGTTACTTTATGGGCGCTACAATCACCTTAGTACTCCTTGTGGGACTGGAGGCTTGTTGTGATCGTTTACTTAATGAAAGTGGGGTTTAAACCGTGAACCTTGTGTTTAGTTCTACACATGGAGGTTTGCGATCAACTGTTTTGGAGCTTTGACATGAGCAGTCTTGGAGCTTTGACATCAGCAATTTTGGAGCTTTGACATCAGGAGTTGTGGAGCTTTGTCATTGACAGTTTTGAATCTTTGACATCAGCAATTTTGGAACTTTTACATCAGGAGTTGTGGAGCTTTGTCATTGACAGTTTTGGATCTTTGTTGTCAGCAATTTTGGAGCTTTGACATTAACAATTTTGGAGCTTTGACATCAGCAGTTGTAGAGGTTTGATATTGACTGTTGGTGTTGTAGAGTTTTGACATCAGTAGTTCTTAAACTTCACTGGACATTTTACATCAGTGGACATTTCTGATCTGCCCAGTGTCAAGGAGCCATTTGTATCAACAGTTGATCTACACAGTGACCACATTACACTCATGTCTGCATTTATTGATTTGATGCTCAGTGTTACACATTGAACAATGTTATATTAGACAATCAACATACCAGGGTACAATAAAGGTTTCTGTGTGAACTGAAACCAAATAAATCTATTTCTCAAACAGAAGGATGTGCCTGAAAGATGTGAGTTGTGCATGTGGCTCTTTGTTCTTAGTGACCTGTCCATCACTTCCTCAGTGAATTCATAGACACCAGACTAGACCATCTTAGATATGGGGCACAAGATCAGTAGATCTTACAGTCATCCAGTACAGTATTTTCTCCATGCAGTAAAGTGCATTGGGTCTGTAGCAATATCAAGATATTCATAAATTAGATAAGGACGATAGATATCCTAAGCAGACCTTTGAAATATTTTGAGGTTTTGTTTCCATTCTTGAACAAGTACATTGTAACTGAGCGTTGACCTTGTTAACCGGAACCGCAATCCAGAGATTGTTCTTCATCTCAGATGCTTCCAACAAGGATGAAGGAATTCTTTAAAAATTAGACAAAAAAGTCTGATAAACAACATGGAGGCTGCCACACTATCACAATACTTGCGAGTAAGTGACAGTTGGGATTGTGTACATTGTGTCGCTCAAGTCTCATTTGTAGAAATGTCTTGCTTAATATGTTAAAAGCCAACGGGCAGAAAAAGTTGGTGTAAGTTGGTCCATATGCTGTTTATGTTGTACTTAACCTCTGGCGGGTACATACAATCATGGTGGCGTATTTGAAAACAAGTTTGTTCCCACCTGAGAAAACACAACCATAGCCGGTATCATGTAGATGCAAACACTTCAGGATGTGTCATACACCAGACTGACTCGAAAAACATTTCAATTGTTTCAAATTCTTTCATGTGTGAGGACATGGCATGCTGATATTTAAAGATTTGATTAAAGGAATGTTTGTGTTATTTTCTTTCTGTTGAAGTGGAAAATGGTTTTACTTTGTAACTTTCTATACGTTGCACTGGGATTTCTTTTCATTAATAGTGAAAGGAAATGAACAAGATATGTATTATTCATATTGTGTAGTGAATACAGCTGACGTGTGTGGGGGTTTAGTTCGGATTTCACAACTCAACACCGTTAGTTGATAGTTGCCATAATTGTTCTCGTTTTGTACTTGATTATCATTTGAGTTTTGTAAGTTGTGAAGTTCCTGTGAACCTATGACTGTTCTGTGTTAGTTGATCTGCAGCTGACTTTGATGATGGTTGTGTAGTAACAATACATTGGGTGAGATATTACTTAGGGTGAGACACCCTTACATTGGGTGAGACACCCTTACATTGGGTGAGACACCCTTACATTGGGTGAGACACCCTCACATTGGGGGAGACACCCTCACATTGGGGGAGACAACCTTACATTGGGTGAGACACCCTTACATTGGGGGAGACACCCTTATATTGGGGGAGACACCCTCACATTGGGTGAGACACCCTTACATTGGGGGAGACAACCTTACATTGGGGGAGACACCCTTACTGGAGACTTGAGAAAAGACCTAACAGGACAGTTGACTGGACACCCGTCAAGACACTAGACTGGTTCGATACCTGACAGAACACTTGAATGGACACATGACTGGACACCAAACTGACCAGACAGATGACAGGAGACATAATTGACAGGACTCTGACAGGACACCTAATTGAACTAGATACCTGACAACATCTGACAGGACACCTTATGGGACATCTAACTAGATACCTGACAACATCTGACAGGACACCTTATGGGACATCTAACTGGATACCTGACAACATCTGACAGGACACCTTATGGGACATCTAACTGGATACCTGACAACATCTGACAGGACACCTTATGGGACATCTAACTAGATACCTGACAACATCTGACAGGACACCTTATGGGACATCTAACTAGATACCTGACAACATCTGACAGGACACCTTATGGGACATCTAACTAGATACCTGACAACATCTGACAGGACACCTTATGGGACATCTAACTAGATACCTGACAACATCTGACAGGACACCTTATGGGACATCTAACTAGATACCTGACAACATCTGACAGGACACCTTATGGGACATCTAACTAGATACCTGACAACATCTGACAGGACACCTTATGGGACATCTAACTAGATACCTGACAACATCTGACAGGACACCTTATGGGACATCTAACTAGATACCTGACAACATCTGACAGGACACCTTATGGAACATCTTACTGGATACCTGACAACATCTGACAGGACACCTTATGGGACATCTAACTGGATAGCTGACAACATCTGACAGGACACCTTATGGGACATCTAACTGGATACCTGACATCTGACAGGACACCTTATGGGACATCTAACTAGATACCTCACCATCTGACAGGACACCTTATGGGACATCTAACTAGATACCTGACAACATCTGACAGGACACCTTATGGGACATCTAACTAGATACCTGACAACATCTGACACCTAACTGACTGAACACCTGGCAGGACACGTAGCAGGACACGTGACTGTGGACATGACTGTATACACTGGGGTTACTGGGTGTAGAACCTGGTCCCACAAATAATATGAAACAGGATAGCATGTATGTCAGTAAATAGCTCAGTAGATTCCACAAACCATCAGGTTTGGCTATTTGTTTTTAGCATGTAAGTGCTGATTGATGTAAATTGGTTCCTGTTTATGTAGTGTGATAGGTCCGGCTTTGATCTTGGCTGATAACTGTGTGAATTTGTGAGTCATTATCTCACTGCCTGACAGGCTTCCTAATCCCTGCTAGAAAAACTGAAATCTGATTGTTGATGGAACCAATTACGTGGGGATGACTGTAAGCCAATACCTTGCAATTAACTGGAACTGGTGGGACCACCATTAACAGATTGGAATCACAATTGTTGAACATTCTCACTCCACTTTTTGTATATGATGAAATGAAATGTGTTAAACAAACTCAGATGAATTCATTGGAGTCCTGTGGTTTTGTGGGGAGTCCTGTGGACTTGTTGTGTGGCCTCTGGGTTGTAGGGAAATATGGTGTACACATGGCATATCTGGAAACATGAATCTTGCAGGGTAAACATGAATCTTGCAGGGTAAACATGAATCTTGCAGGGTAAACATGAATCTTGCGGGGTAAAACAAATTTTGCAGGGTAAAACATGAATCTTGCAGGGTAAAGCATGAATCTTGTGGGTAAAACTTGAATCTTTCAATGTAAAATATGAATCTTGCAAGGTAAACATTAATTCAAGTGTAAAACATAAGGTATGTGCATTATTTGACAGCAGCCTATAAATTATTGAATTTGGGCCAGACAAACCAGTGATAAGTAGGTGAAAATGTCCTGATGCAGCTGTTCATTATTAAACTATCCAAAATGTTTTGTGTGTCAGTGTAAAGATTAGTGTGTGGCCAGATGCTATATGGTCTCCATTGGGAATGTTGTCAAGAACTATAACAGTTATATAATAATATTGCATTAGGAGAAAGAACAATGTATGAAAGCATGAAATGTAAGTGTCAAAATAGAGTTAACAGTTTATAGTAGAGAAATATTATGTCTTCGAGGGAAACAGAAATGAGATGGCCTCCCATGTCATTGTGTGGATTGTGAGTTGGTGAAGTTAAAGCTTCCAATATTTTTGCATCAGTAGCCTGGATGTTCTGTCCAATGCCTAACAGATACATCTATATCACACGTAAATGTGGGATTATACTGACAATGAACGTATGCAGGCCATGTGTAAAGGTTGGTATTCACCAATATATGGGTTAAGTACACAGGAAAACAATGTCTTGTGACATTAGTATATATCAGCTTCAGACACTCCTTAATCCACTGAACCGCATGTAGCGATACTTAAACTTTGGATTAATTTCACCCTGTAATTAGAATCATTTCAAATATATTTGCACTAAAATTTCATTTCAATTTTCAATTCTTTATCTTTAATAATGATATGTTAATAACTTTTGAATATAATTATTACACTTATTTTTGGAATTATGATCTTTACGGCCAAAGGAATAATGAGTATTGGTACTTTTTACATAAAAGTGAAAGGGTCAATATTCACTGTGAGATATTAATGGTAGAATGTGTTGATTCCATTACGACAACATGTTCAGTTCCTCTCATCTCTGTGTTGCTCCTCGTCCTGGGTCCGGCATCAACATCAGCAGCAACATCTCCATACCCTCTGCCATCCTACTCCACATAATTAAAAGGCTGTGGCTTAAACCACTTGAGTCCCGGGAGTCTTAGCCCTTGTCC